ATAGTCGAAGAAAAATAAATAAATAAATAAACATCGAAAGAAACACATCTTCAAATTGTTAAGCTTCCCCTAAACAAATGCTTTCCAAAAAATAATGAAATGCAACATGCAAATGATATATATATATATATATATATATATATATATATATATATATATAATTTGTATGAGAAGCCAATCATTATACCAACAAGAATGATAGAGTACAAAAACACATGTAGTTTTGAATCCTTCTTCACAAATTAGCACATTCTCTAAAATATAACATGTTTGAGCAATATAGCAGAAAATTGACGTTACAAAATGTAATTAAGTCTTACATCATCAACTTAACTTTAACCCTTAACCTTACCAGATATACGCTCCACTTGTCACTTAAAGTGTTTTGGGGTGAATATACACAAAACATCTTTACATGAATGCTCTATCATAGACCTGCAAATTGATCCCGTCTCCACTTGTCACTTAATGTTTGGTAAAGCTAGAATTTCATCGATCAAGCATAATTCGTATGCAAATAAGTTTGTTTGGCAAGCATTGATCAACTAGCCATCTGTACTGTATTTTTTTATTTAACAAATACGAGAACTCTCTCACATAAAATATATTAATATTACATGTTATACCACGTACTAACAATAAGCTTCTATTCACATATACCACTTGCTCGAAGTTTGTTTCTGATCCGACACATTTGTGCCGTAGCATCACTGATGTCCAATCTTTCTCTAGGCAACTCTGCTGAGCAAGCAACACCAATTTCTAGAACTGACATTAAACTTTTTTCAATTTGGACGTGATTCCTTTTGCTATCTTCGTCATGACAATCACTCTCTTGAACAAGAACAGGATCCAAAACCTCTTCCACTTTCTCCGGCAGAGCTGCCTTCACAAAGTTATGAAGGTTTGAAGCTCCCTCAAACATGTTATCGGTTGGTCGCTTTCCTGTAAATATTTCCAACAGGAGGATACCAAAGCTGTACACATCACCTTGTGTCCACACTTCATGTCCCATGCCATATTCTGCATTCCACAATTCAGAACATTATATTCTAATTTTCTAGTGAAGTGCTAAAAGCCCATTTCATATTTGAAAATTTTAAAATAAATACTGCACAATCTTAAAATACTAGCTAGGAAAAAATAGACAACTGTGTATTTACCTGGAGGAGCATAACCAATGGTTCCCTTGATCCCTAAAGAACTTGATTGATTTCCCGAAGAATTTTCAGTAGCTTTTGGGAGGAACCTCACCAACCCGAAGTCACCTACATGTGCAACCATGTCCTCATTGAGAAGAATATTGCTGGGTTTGAGGTCGCAATGAACTATTGGCGTCTCACAATGATGATGGAGATAATCCAGTGCCATAGAAACATCAATGACAATATTCAACCTCTGAGAAATTGTTAAGCTCCTTGGCCTCTGACTTGTCTCACCAATTGTATGAGTTGGATGCAACCATTCCTCCAAGCTCCCGTTAACCATGAACTCATAAATTAAGGCCTTGAAGTCGTGACCGCGATAATCAAAACCAGAACATGCCGAGAGTACCTTGACAAGATTACGGTGTCTAATATTTCTTAAAGCCTCGCACTCAGCAATAAAACTTTTGTAAGCTCCCAGACGAGCAAGGTTGAGTACTTTGACAGCAATTGTTTCACCTTGCTCAAGTACTCCTTTATAGACAGACCCAAAACTGCCCATACCAATCAAGTTGACAGAGGAAAATCCATCAGTAGCTTTGAGAAGACTTTGGTAAGAGACTGAGAGAAATTTTTCTGAATCACTTGAAGTCCGCTCTATTTTTGCCCTCTGTGGCCGACGGAGGTACAAAAAGACTAGTGCAAAAGTAACCCCAAGAATCCCACAAACCAGAGAAATTATCAATTTCATTTTTGGGCTTAATCCTCCCTTGTTGGAATGTTGGAGTTTGCACTTGGGCAAATGGAATCCAGGAATTCCCCCACAAAGCTTGCTATTTCCTTCAATCGATGTGGCAGTTGCATTCCTGAAAACCCCCTTCATTGGTACCATGCCCTCAAAGTTGTTATAAGATAGATTCAAAGATTGCAAAACTTGAAGACGCTCTAAGAATTCTGGAATCGAGCCTGACAAGTTGTTGCGAGAAAGATATAATTCTTTGATTCCTCTTAGTGAACTCAGAGATGATGGAATCGTCCCTTGAAAGAAGTTTCCTTGCAGGTCTAGAGATTCAATTTTTATGCAACTACCCAGACTTGTTGGAATTTCCCCAGACAGCATGTTTTGAGAAACACGAAAATTCTCCAGATTTATCAAATTTCCTACTTCTTTGGGAAGGAAACCAGTCAACTGATTTTTAGAGAAATCCAATTCCACATAGGAAGATGACAGACCAATGACTTGAGGGGATATGATACCGCTGAGGTTGTTATTAGCAAGAGTCAAGGCAATCAATTTCCGGCACTTACCTAGACTTGAGGGAATATTGCCGTCAAGTTTGTTACCGGCTAAACTCAATATGGATAGTTCACTTAAATTCCCAAATGACGATGGGATATAGCCGGAGAGATTGTTAAAACCCAAATCTAATTCGTACAACTTCCGAAGCTTTCCCACATCAGTGGGGATGCTTTCTGAAAATTGGTTCTGGGCAAACCAAATGCTCTCTAGCTTAGCCAGATTTCCAATCCCATGGGGGATGCTTCCTGATATTTTATTGTGTTCTACATGCAAGAATACAAGAGAAGAAGACAAGTTGGCCATGCATTGAGTTAAATTGCCCCCAAAATTGTTTGTATCGAACATCAGTTGTTGTAAACGGGTAGCATTAGTCAGATCGCAAACAAAGCTCAAGTCATCGATTTCCCCCCTTCCAAGATTGTTGTAAGCAATATTCAAGGACTCAAGATTAACTAAACTTTTCAAAGAAGGAACTTTCCCCTGAAATTTGTTTCCTTCCATCCAAAGATAAGTTAGAGTTGAGGCATTAGATAACGAAATAGGAAGAGGTCCAGTAAATTTGTTGTGGCCGACCCCTAAATATTCTAGACTTGGAAAGACAATACCTAGGTTTGGAGGTAAAGTGCCTTGGATTCTGTTGACTGTAACATCAATGATACTAATGGAAGAGAGATTATAGAGTGAGGGAGGGATCACATCTGAGAACCTATTACCACCCAAACCAAGAACTTTAAAATTGGCCATTTGACCAAAGATATCTGGAATACTCCCATAAAAATCATTACCAGGTGCCATAAGCAACTCAAGAGATGATAAATTGGCAAAGGAGTAGGGGATACTTCCTGTAAGTTTGTTGAAGAGTATTGAAATTATTCTCAACTTCGACAAAGTGCCAACCTCCTCAGGAAGTCTTCCTACCAGAAAATTCCCACCAAAAGCAATTCTGGTTAGTTGAGAGCAACGCGATAAGTTTGAGGGAATTTCACCGGTAAGGGAATTATTCTCCCAAACTATATCTTGCAATCTTGAGAGACGGCCGATTTCTGGAGGAATTTTGTGGCTCAAGTTATTGTTGGTGAGAGAAAGTACTCTCAAAAAACTCAAATTCCCAACATGTGGTGACAGAGAGCCTGAAAGATTGAAGGACTGCAGGTTCAACACCGTGACCCTCTTGTGACGACGACCACATGTGACACCACGCCAATTGCAAAAATGGTTGGTTTCGTTCCATGAAGTCAAGGCTTCAACAGGGTCATAGGTTATCCTCGCTTTGATTTCAAGCAAGGCCAATCGATCCGTCTCATTTCCACTCAGTCTCAAGGCAAGGCATGAGTGAAAAATAAGGACATGAAAGCAAAAATATGAGAAAAGCAAAACTGAAAAGAACTTGTTCATCCCCATGGTGGTTGCTTCTTGTTATGTGCTTACAGCAGCTCTGCGGAGAATACATCTAATTTATAAGCAACCTGCCGCATAATATCAATACGTTGAGGCATATTCATCCCCCAAAACACGCAATTACCGTCCTAGTTAATGATGCCACAGTATTGGGGTCGGTTTTGTTTAACATTTTGCGGGTTTTTTTTTTGCATGAATCGGATTGGAAATAAGTTTTTAATTTTCATTTCAAAAATTTTGGACCAGGATAATCTCAAAATTTTTGGAACATAATTTGGAAACTCATATATTGTACAGTTCTTTCATTAAGTAACCACTGAGGCACTTGTTATTCACTAACTCATTGTACACTTCGTTACTATTTTGCAACTAACTTAGCATCAGATTGACCACTTACTACGGTCTAGTGATATTCCTTTTTCACTTGTAAGTGAGAGATCTCAAAAAACAAAACAAAACAAAAAAAAATACACCCAGCACCAGATTATAGAATGGAATAAGTAAACACCAAGTGGGTCAACTATATCAAGATAAGGAGACTGCAAGGTGTGGTAGGTAATCAAGATAAGGAGAATGCAAATTGAATCCAAGGACGACCCCTCCACAGGTCCGCTTGGTATAACTAAGGAGTTTGGGAGATTGAAATGGCATCAGGGATGAGGCTGGAAATGCCATTAGGTTTTAGAAGTTAAGATAAGGCTTGACTGGTCATTAGGAAATTGTCATGATTTGGGGGCTAGGGTTGAAGGATGGGGGGGGGGGGGGGGGGGGGGAATTTTGGGAAATACTAGAAAAAATGTCCATGCGTTCCTGCAGGACTTGAATGCACCAGTCTTAATAAAACACATTTTAACCTGGAAAAAAATTCAACATAATCATGAACAAACAAAAGGGATAGATGAGTCAACGGTGTCGGTAAGATAAGCAGTTTGGCTTTTACATACATTCAACCGAGCTGATTACAAAAGATATGGTTGCAAAAAATGCTTTCTTTGTTTCCCTGAGAAACAAAAGCAACAACATGCATTTTACACATATATTGCCCTTGAAGTTAAGATGGCAAAATATATGTCCTACAGGTCAGCCACCTGTTTTAGCAGTTAAACAAAAAAACATAAAAAGTGTTTCGTTCTTGTTTCAGCAGCTAGGCAATTAAGTAGAAGAATGTTTGTTCAAGTTGATGCAAAGAGAGTTCACCTTATACATCAACACTAAGTAAAAATGATAATACAGAACTGGCCAAACCACTTACCCTAACAAAAAAATGCCAAGAATAAACTTGTGTCAATATGTAGCCAAAGGGAGACATAAACTACAAATCAACAGTGACTAAAAACAAAATCTCAGAGACCAAACATGCACAAACATGCAGCAAAAAGAAAAAGAAAAATTGTTGGAAAAACTGACCCTTAATTATGATTCTACAGATCATGCGCAACCCTCTCCTAAAACCAAACTAAACACAAGATAAGCTAAATAACAAATGACTTCATTCAATAAATTTACAAAATTAACTGCAAATCACTAAATTAGCCTCTTGAATTCAGCCAGAGTACTCATCAGGAAACCCAACATTTTTCAGAATATGATTAGCATTTTGACCAATCATTTTCAATGTGAATTTCACACTTGGTTTCGACTCTTGCACCACTTTTGTTCCAAATCTCATATTCCAGTAACCGGTCCCAACATCTTGCACTTTAATAAAAGAGCATTGTAAGATTGTAGAGATGCATAGAACAGATAAAGTTAATGACAGAGAGCTAAGCTACTTCACCTCTTCTATAAGTCCACATCTCCACCCAAGCCTAAACATCCCGACATTGCCCCAATAGGTGTGTCGTCCTGACCTGCAAGATTTACAAAGAAGAAGCAGAGAAATCGATGTATAAGCACAGAGCTTGTCATCCAAAATTCAAAGCTGAAAACAGACAGAAGAATTAAAGAGTTGTGCCTATGAAAAAAATGAGAGAGCAGGTACCAAAACAATCTATGAAGAAAAAGATTTTGAGGTGAATGAGTGGATAAATTGCTACATAAAAAGCTCATTTCAGGTCGATGATCCCTTTCTCACCTTAATAACATTTTACAATTACAACTAGCCTCTTTGCACGCACTAACGTGCGTGCGAGAGGCATTTTTGCATCACGGGCACTACGTGCCCCAAAGATGTGTTGTTTTAGATATTCTTATATTTCTTAAGTGATTATTTTATAAATTGTGTTTGTGTCCATCACAACAATTTCTTATTATTTTCAATTTTTTATTATGTTCAATCATCTAACTTAGTCTTTTTGCACCTGCCCATTGTACCCAAAAAATGAAATTTATGAATTGCACACTAACCATTCCACCTTTTTTTTTTTTTTTTCGTTTGGCTGATAGAATTTGATTTCACGAAATGAGCTATGCTTGATCATTATTATGACTTTGGTAATTAAGTTACTCAGTCTAGTTAGAATTTTGTTATCTCCATCAGTACCATTTTACCCTTATATATTGTACAGAAGAAGATCAAGAGTTAGGTTCCTTAAACTCTCATATAAAAAATAAAAAAAATATGCTTAATTATTTAATGTTGTATAGAAAATATGAAATGATCAATATATTTTGTAACATGAGGATTAGTGGCTGTATTAAAAGGGTGCACAACAACATTTTTTTATTATGGTGGACAAAAAGGTATTATGGGCAATATTTGGTGTCATTCGAGCAGGTTGGCAGATCATTTGTTCAATGGTTGTGTGAATAGGATAGTTGATGCAGTTAGAGGAGTGAGTACATAATTATGGGTGTGCCATTTTGGGTTGGGATTGAAATGTTCAACATTAGAGCATGGGCCAGGCTACGTAGTTCCAATTGCTTGAGTTGAAGAAAGGTTGATGAGATAATGGTCTTACCGTACAATCATCCCATCATTCCAAAGTGATAATGGTGTTATCGCATGCCATATTGTCATATTGCCACATTTGTTGAATAATTTAGGAGCATATATTCCATCCAATTTGCACTTGTGTGAGTAATTTCTCATACATTTTTAACTATTTTTTCTTTAAAACAACAACGAAGATAAAATGGGAAAACATATACTATTTATAAATAAAAATATATGAAAATATGACATGTAATTTGATTTCTAAATACATATTGACAACACTTAATGTCCTTAAATCAAAATGTTTCAGATTCATAAGTTTTCAATCAAAGTTATAGGCTAGCTAGGGATGAACTCCTAATATATGAAGCAAAGCAAAATATGGACAACATGTACATATGTAAACATAGCACCTACGTGTGAAATCAAAGCCATGCTTGCCACCCATTTGCTTGCACTTGATGCTTTAGATTTTCATGGTTAATCTGCAAGCAATGATGATAAAATAAGAAGTCTAACTATAATGCACAATCCCAACTATAAAGATTGTAAGCAACTTAACCTAAATACCTTTAAGTTTGACAATTTTTTCATGGCAATACTTTTACTCCAGTTACTTGTAGAATATTGAAAGATAAATATATTTGTCAAGTTTGAGGTAACAAATTGTAACCATATTTACAAAATTAAATAATAAGAAATATTACCTTAATCTTGTACTTCAACCTTTGTACTTTGAGACGGGTGTGATGCTTGTAAAACTGACAAAAAATGCAATTTTATTTATATTTGAAAATTGAATGCAATTTGAATTTATAGTATACTTTTGTATGAAAATAAGAGAAGACTTACCGTATTTAGAAAAGTTGTTTGGCCACTGTTAATCTTTTTTCTGCACCCATAAATTGTTTTATTTTATTTTATAATTTGAGATAATTAATTTGTAGAATGATATAGAGAATGCCATTAAAAATAAATAGGTAAGAAATGGTGTTGTACCTTATTTGTTGGACTTTATTCCAAATACGTATGATCTGAGGAGTTGTTGAAGGTTTTAATTCTTCCACAGCCTTTTTCATGCGCCACCCATATATTGAAGGTATATATAATGTTAGATTTCTTGTAACAAATTTGTATATAATTTAGGATACATACTGCTCATGCTTCTTCTTTTTCCACTCTTTGAGAATCAGTTGGCTTAGATCAGTAGTTTTTACTCCGACAGATATCTCCCAACCAGGTGTAAAAATAGAGACACGTCTGTTTGAGATCTTATCAATAGGTTCCTTCTTCATTTTTTGTGGGTATTCTTGTAAATATCCTAAAAATGAAAACAAATAATTTTTAAAATTACCATAGCACACGTATAGCACATTAAGATAATCAAAAGTGAAACTCATAATCTGACCGAAATTTGTCAAAGCCTCCTCAAACAAAACCGAAAACAAAAACAAAAACTTACCCATTGCCAAAGCCTCCTCAAGCCAAAAACAGAATGCCAAAATCAATTACATAGAAATCAAATTTCAAACCTCGTCACTTGTTTGTTCCACGATTGGTAAATTCCAGAGACTGATTTGTAGAAGAAATTCAATTCAATAATTCTGTGAAAATGCATGAGAAGATTAACAGTAAGGAATAAGGAGCACTGTGACAGAGAACAAAATACAAAAGTTTAATTAATAATTGAGAACTATGGAGGAGGAATTAAACTCAATTAACAGCAAAAAAAATATTAAAATAAAATAAAATACACATACTTTATCGAATGACCAGTTCTTGTTGGTTTTTCACCAATTTCATCTTCTCCTCTGGGCTCCAGCAAAACAATTTCAATTTGCTATTTTTAGGTTCTTTTATTTTGTGCTTTACTTAGATCTCCTTCCGCAAAACTGCTTTCTCTCCCACGTTTGAATTTTTTTTCATGCACGATCGTGTTTATAGTTCTACAAAACTACTCCCTTCACACGCTTCAAGTGTTCAACTGCTGAATAGCAGTTCTAATTCTAAACATATTAGGGTTCTTTTTATTTATTTTTATTCCATTAGTTTTACAATAACGTGAGTCTGTAAACTACAATCTGTCCCACGTTTCTTTCCTCAATTTTTTCCAAAATTTTCTAATTCTAAACATATTTGGTTTTTTTTTTTTTTCATTCGATCAAATTTTATAATAACGTGAGAGTTTGTAAACTAAAACCTGCAGTCTCTCTCCCACGTTTCTTTCCTCAATTTCCCAACATTTTTTTTCGTTTTTTTTCTCATTTTTTTAACGGCTTCCGTCTCTTTATGTTTTCATCTACTTTTTTTTTTCTTTTTTCTTTTTTTTTTAAATCAAGATGAGTACCAATATTGCATTCATGGGTTATCTATTACGTGGACTCGTGACCAGTATGCGTTTTAATTTCCGGTTTCCTATGTATTTTTTTTGTATTCCTTGCTCTCAATTTATAGTAAAAATTTACTATTTTTTTCATTACAATTTTCTATTCGGTTATGAGTTTTTTACCAATTTGTCCTTATTTTCTGATTTTTTTTGGGTTTGATTGTGAAGCTTTGAGGGAGGGTTTGATTCATCCAACGAATAAAAACAATCTTGGCTAAGAGTGTAGAAAAAGTATATCTCACATAAGCATCTCCCATGTGTGTTGTGTTTCATGAACAATAGTAAGTAGATGTAAATAAAAAAAGAGTAGATGAAAACATTAAGTACTCGTAGCAAAATACGAAACAACTTAAATGTCAAAATTTAAAACCTACATCAAAATATGTACATTATTCACAATACCCATAAAGTCTACACGTCACTGTTTCTTTTGAAAAGAAAGTTTACATATTGACATCAATGCTGCAATTTCCACCCATTTGTTCCTGATTGATGCTTCAAATTTTCATTGCCAATCTACAAATGATAGTGAGAAAATTAAAAATAAAATAGAAAGAGTTAATTGATAAGCGAGAAATGCATACTAAAAGGTTATCGTTAATAAAATTGTTACCTATTAGGTGTCACCATAATTAGCTGGAATGAAGCAAGACTTCTTTGTATACTACATTCCATGTAAATACACCTTGTTGGCCTACTATAGAGACATTTTTTACTAACACGGTTGTGGTTGACTTTGAGACCCCTCTCGATAAAGCCACATATAATTGTCCATGACTGAAGACGTGATTTGGAAGGTAAATGCCACATATAATTGTCCTGATTGATGCTTCAAATTTTCATTGTGTTAGTTGTTTCTTATTGTAATTGTCAAGATATTT